TGTGGTTTACTTTTTGGGTATGAAGAGCTGGTTCGTCTAAGCTTCTGGTTCTCTCTTTTGATTTTATCTTGTCGAGGCCGGATTGATTTTGTCTTCAGGAGTTCCGAGGTGGCCCAATTCCAATGTGGGTCATAAGTTTTCAGACTTTCTCCTTAGGTCTGGAATTTTCTAAGAATGATTTTGGCCTCAAGAACTTGGGTGTTGGACTGACCTTAGATCCTCTCTGTGGGCGTGCCACACAGGGATGCAAAGTCAGATGGTTGGGAAGAAGCCCCAAGATTTCTCAGGAAGTGGATTGAGTAGCTGTGTTGTACTGTATGCAAAGGATCAGGGAGAGGAAAGGTAAGCCTTGGAGCCCCAGAAAGAGGCTGTCAGCCCCAGAAAGAGGCTGGCGGGTGTTGCAGGACCAGGGAAGCAGAGAGAGGTGAGGGCGTGGCCGGGTCCAGAGGCAGTACTCCTGGGGCCCAAGGAAGGCACCAAGCCGGTCTGGGTGAAAAGGGTCAGGAAGCAGCACTGGCTCCCAAAGTGTCTGGGGTCCCAAGACTAGGAATGGCACAGGGCCCAAGCTAGGAGTAGAGAACTGCGGGGGAGATGGAAGGGTGAATGCGACTGGGGGAGTCAAGGCACGGAGGGCTGCGTGATAGACTTACCCCGAGAGAGGCCTGAGGGCAGGAGAGCGGGCCAGGAGAATTAGCTGGTGGTGCAGGTCCGGGGAAGCAGGGAGAGGTGAGGGCAGGGCCAGGTCCAGCTGAAGCAGTGCTCCTGGAGCCCAAGGAAGGCACCAAGCTGGCCTGGGCGAAAATGATCAGGAAGCAGCACCGGTTCCCCAGGTGTCTGGGGACCTAAGACCAGGAATGGCGCAGGGCCCAAACCAGGAGCAGAGAACAGCAGGGGAGATGGAAGGGCGAATGAGGCCGGGGGAGTCAAGGCGCGGGGGGCTCCGCGATGGACCCACCCTGAGAGGCCTGAGGATAGGGGAGCAGGCCAGGAGAGTTAGCCAGTGGTGCAGATCCAGGGAAGCAGCTATATATTATATATTTTCCATATTACATATTATACACTTTTATTCAAGCAATCTAAGTGTATAATCTATATATTATACACTTTTATTCAAGCATAGGCAAATCTTGGACATAACACAAGAACAAAAAATAACTATTTTGTTTGGGAACATTAAATTTCATCATTTAAAAGATAAAGCAGACCTGGACAAGCTCACCATGCCCATAATCCCAGGACTCAGAAGGCTAAAGAAGTCTTGTCACAAGTTCAAGGCCAGTCTAGGCTACAAATTGAGAATCTTGTTCAATATATAACACAAAGACTTCTTAGAAAAGTGATTGATTCCAAATCCAGGACAGGAAATATGAGACAAGCCTTGAAATTTTTGTCTTAACAAAAAGAAATCTACCAAAGACTATTTGAGTCAGCTTGAAAAGACTTGCCAGTCAGTTTGAAAAGGCTCCCACTGACTGAAGGCCAAACAACTTAATAAGTAGCAATATGGATTATGAACTGCACTGGATTAAAACAAACTAAATTTGCTTGACTCTATTAGTTTTCAATGCCATTTAAGTTCTACTTTAAACTCCTTATTGATAAGTTGCCTCATAGTAATGGTAGAATCCAATAACAATTTTTAATAGTTAATAGGTTAGTACTTCCCCTCCAATCTTAAAGAGAATGATAATTTCCTAAAAGAGTTACTTTAGGGACTGGAGAGATGGCTCAGTGGTTAAGAGCACTCACTGGCTGCTCTTGTAGAGGATACAGGTTCGATTCCCAGCACTCACGTGGAAGCTAACAGCAGTCTGTAACTCCAGTTCCAGGAGAATCTGACCTATTCTTCTGACCTCTGCAGGCACTGCAGGACATGGGTGCACTTACACACAAGCAGGTAATACACTCATACACACAAAATTTTTAAAATAAAGAATTACTTTAACAATACAAAATAGAGAACATTTATAACAAATATTAAGCCTTTTATCTGGTTGGTTATTCCTTTAAGAATTTGTTTAGCCTAGTAAATATTAGATACATGAAAAGAATACAAATATTAACGAGAAATATCCTGGGTATGGAACTAATAAAAGATAGTAAGTGCTATGAGACGAATTTAGAAAGAGTGATTACTTCCATCTACTATAAGTGATAAAGATTTATTGAAGGGAATATTATCTCAGCTCAGCTTTGAACAGTTAAGATCTGTACTTATAGAAATTGGAGACCACTAATAGTCCAGATATAGTTAGTGACTGTTCTAGGAAAAATAATTTTCCTGACAAATCAGACTACCTTGAGTTCATCATTTTAATAAAAATATGGCTCTAAATATAATTTTCCTTAAATAAATTACCTTATGTTTTTCCATAAGTGCTACCATTTCAGCTATTTTATGCTGGCACCGCAAATCAACTTCTTTCTGCAATTTTACTGCTTCATCAACTGTTGCTTTGGCTTTCTCAACCTACCAAATAAATAAAAATGCTTTTTATTTATTGGTTCTAGACCTTATAGCACAAGTATGCACACATTTGCTCATGCACATGCAAATTCAACTTCTCTGTAAAAAAATGAATGTTTTGCCAGAAGTGGTGGCTTACATCTTTAATCCCAGTACTCAGGAAGCCAAGGCAGGTAGATCTCTGTGAGGCCAACCTGGTCTACATAGCAAGTTCCAGACCACCAGGACCTACAGGAGACCTTGTCTCAAAAAAGACCAAAAAATGCATCACTTGTTTGGTTTATTTTAGGATGTTTCAAAAGGTGGAATGACAGTGAAACACTCTAATATTTAGTAATTTTTTTAATTATATGCTATTCAATGCTTAAGTATTTAGAATAACAATGATACTTCCAGCTTCTATAAATTCTGACAACTGTTCCTATTATAAATGTATTAGATATTTTAAAATAAAAAATTTTAATTACTTATTTTTTAAATACAAATCAACAAGCCATTTTAGTATAGGTTCTTAAACACATCTAGCTTTTCCTACCTCTCCCAAAAGATTATTTTCTGATATCTTTTTGTCCTCAATTTCTTTTTGATAGTTGTCAGTCATTTCTTGAAATTTTTGCTTGGCACTTTCTAGTTCTGATTCTAATTTACTGACCTAAAAATAAAGAAAATTAATTTTAGTAAATGCTATAGAATACTTGAAAATATTTCACATTCGTTTGTGGTTTTGTAAACTAAAAGATTCATTGAAATCATGATTTAACTACTTTCCTTACATTTGTTGTATACTGAAATGTGTTTCATTTCCTATAACCTCATCTTCTGCAAGTTGCCCTCTGACCTACACATAACACACACACACCAAATAAATGTAATCAATTTAAAACAGTCCTTTTATCTTCCTGCCACAAAGAATGTGGATTCCATCCTGAAGGGTTATACAAATCATAGGAAAATTTGAGAAAAGACAATAAGTATACTGGCAATGAAGCTGGAGCATGGATAAAAGACTACTTCAAATTTGTAGCTACTCTACAAATTTCAGCACTATGCTGAAATTCTCACGAATCACCCTGATCCACCTATCTCCCAAGTATATGGACCACCACATCAACTAAGATTATTTGTAGGAATTGGAGTGAAATTGGCCTGTAGGCCTTGGGATAAAAAGAGTCTTTCTTACTGAATTATGTTCATGATTTACTCAAGTTCTTGGCAAAGAATTCTACTTTGTTAAGTGCAAGGGAAATAAAGTGGCTCCTCCAGAGTACCACTGGAAAGCAGCATGACTATGATCTCACTCTTTGTGTTCAGATCACTGTAAATAATTTTGTTCTTAGTCCTTTTCTTTTACAAATGATGTACTTTGAGGATGTTCATGTATAACAGAGTTGATGCTTAGTTTTTGCTTGATTTTTAAACAGAGAAAATAAAAGAGGTTACTGCTCTTTTCTTTTCAATTTTTTTCCATTTCAAAACTTCTACCAAGATATTCAATGTCCAAAGAGATGTTGCAGAATATTATTGCCAAGTTGACAAAGCTTCTTTTGAATGTTGATGATTCTGTTCCTTTGACACTACATACTTTTATGTGCTAAGGCTAAATGACAAAGTGTTATGATTCCTAGTGACAAAGGTTCAGTCTACTGTATATTTAACTGAACATTCATGCATTCATGTTCTTTTTTTAAAAGTAGTGCTTGAAGAGCTTATCCTTTACAAATTATCCATTTTATTCCTTAGGTATTTTATTTTATTTTTGCTAAAAATGCTAAAGATCAAAGGCTTGTTTCATGGCTTTTATATTTGGGTCAAATTCATGTTTTAACATGACAGACACAATACGATATGTAGCTATAGCTTTATAGAAAAGTCAATCTTGCAGGTGTTGTTTTTCAGATCTTCAACAAAGTTTTTCTTTAAAACTTCCAAAATTGACAAAATACTAGTGATGCTGATCAAAACAAGTACAAAATAACCAACATCAGAAATTAAAAGATAATATTACTACAGATAGAGTATTGTTTAGTTTTATTTTTTAATCAAATCTTACTATATTGGAGATAATTTTTAAACTACAGAAAATATAGATAAATTGAGTGGAACTTAGAAATATACTATTTATCAAATTGAAGACTAGAACAATTAAATAATTACAAAAATGAATTCAGCTTTTCTTCCTTTGAGATACAATCACATTCATCATTAAATATGACATTTGATAAGCTTTAATGAATGACTTTATAACCATATATAAAGATATAATTTCCATAATCCCACAAAATTGCCAGATTAATATAGTTCTGCTCACCAGGCAATAAACTATTATGCTTACTATCTTTATAAATTCATTTGGTCTGTCCTAATCATGGAATCATGCCACACATACTCCCTTCTAGTAAGTTATTTCACTCAACATGTTCCAAGATTTACTCATATTTCTATAGGTATCAATAGATGTTTTTTATTGCTGAGTAGTATTCTATTTTATGAATATGCCAGATACTTACCCAGTTTCCTTCTAATAGACATTTGAAGTATTTTTAATTTTTGTCATTATGGATCAAACTGCTATAAACATTCTTACATAAGACTTAATAAACAAGTTTTCAAATCTCATATTTTTAGGAAAAGAACTGTTGGTTCATAGGGCATTGCATGTTTAGATTTATAATAAATGCCCAAACTATTTTCCAAAACAATTATGTTGTTTTACACTCTGAGAGTAATATACAAGGGTTCTGATTAACTGATATGTTCACTAATGTTTATTGTTGCTCGTCCTCCCCATCCTAGTACTGGAGACTGACTCAAGGACTTCAAGCATGAGAGGAAATGTTACAGCCCTATTTTTTTTAATTTTAAAAAATTTTGATACTCTTATACTAAGTGAAGTAACAGAGATTCAGAAAAACAAATGATGTATATGTTGTCCCTCATATGTAAATTCTAGCACCAAACCCTTATAAATGAATATGTACCCAGACATAACTGCAGGAACCAGAATAATGAAAAGGAACCAGAGCAGTAAAGGGAAAGAAAGAACCTGAGAGAGAAGAACAATAGGAAACAGGCCTTACTAAGGGAAAAATTGATTTTTTTTTAAAATGGGGTTATTTAAATGAGAGGGGAGAGGGAAGGTTATACAAGGAACCTTGGGGATAAAGGGAAAGGGCACTCAAGAGAGGCTGAAACCATAGGAAGACTGGTATTATCAAGGGACAAATGGAAAAAATAGGGACACTTTATGAGTGGAGAAACCATGGTGGAAGGGTTAGGTAGTGAGAGAGAGAGGAGAGATAAATAATGCCTAGCTAATTGTATAAAACCGGAGGGAATCATATTAGTCCAACAACCTAAAGACAAATTATACATACATTATTTCTACATGAGTCCATGTGTATAGCAATAGGCTACATAACAAGAAACAGTGCCAGAAAGAAGAAACCTTCCTTTGAGTTGCTGGCCAGTGTGGTCCAACAGACTCCCAAAATTATTTAGGCCATTACCACAGCCCTTAATGGTCTCCCAGAACTTGAAGGTAAGACCCTATTGCTGAAGATGGAACATACTTTAGGCACAGGATTTGGAGCAACAGTGCTGCAATTGACCTGAAACCACTTCCCCTAAAGGCTATCTCTCATAGCTTTGGAGAGTGCTATGAAGGTGCCAAGGGAAAACATCAATGGATGATCCAACACCAGCTACAAGACCAAATAACCACATCAATGGCCAGCACAGTATATGCCATTGGTGTTGCATTGTCACTTTTATTTTGGGGGTAATCAACAGATAACTGTTAATTGGACTAAAAGCCCACTCAATGGGAGTGAACTCAAATGTGGTACTGTAAACATAACAAAATACACATGGCTGGGGTGGTCACAGATCTTAGAGAAAACCCCAAGACTGTCACATCCCTAGACCAATGTGATTTTCATCCCTAGACTAACGTGATTTCTTACTATGTGCAAAATATGTATCCTTATATTTACAGACAAATATTCCAGTCACCAACCATCAAAGAAGCTCTCTTTGCACCACAAGTACCACAACTGGTCACAAAAAGACATTACCTTTGAATTGCCCAGGCCTAAGTGACACATCTACAATGCAACCTCTACACCTAAGGCTCATGGAACATAGAACAGGGGTAAAGAAGAGGATACTAACAAATCTCTCTTCTTATTAATGAAGCTCCCCCATGCAGCAGAGGGCCAGAAACACAAAAGGTCACAAATGGCCAAAGCATAGAGATCAAGAGACTGCTGAATGCTGATCCTTGAACAGCACTCCTTTATTAAACTTCAACCATCTAAGGATCAGGGATCATCGCGGAACAGGGGACAGAAAGAGTGTAAGAACCAGGGAGGAGGTGTATGACCATATGGAAACAGAGTCCTGTAAGCTCCTGGGAACCTGCTCATATGATTCTACAGCAATGGTGTCAGCATACACAAGTCCCATGCAAACTCAGGCAGACAGTAGTAACCCAGCATAGAACTGGGAAAATGAACAGTAGACCCCAATCTTATCTAACAGAATGTTGGCAACTGATTGCTACTAGATGAAGAAGAGCTGATCTTCCTAAAACAAGGGACTTTAGATAGGCTGACTAGACCTCAGTAGATGGACCTGCAGTGGGGAATATCTGGAGAAACTGACTTGACATAGAGGGCCTTAACAGGGACGACAGAGTATATGGGCTCCAGTGGAGGGGCAGGGTATGGGAGAGTGCCAGTGGCAATGGGGGTATAAAGACTCTTCCTAGCCAACTAGTCCAGCCTTAGAAGACAAAAGAAAAATGAGGAAGAACCCAATAGAGGGATGCTTTTGGAACCCCTTGTCAAGAAATTCCAATGGACTTTCATATGAGCATTTGAAAATTGCCCTGTTCTGACTTTTTTCTAGTTCCCTGTCTAGAACTTGTAATGCTAATTACTCTTGCCTTTACTTCTCCTTCACATCTCCTATTCATGATACAAGGACTTTCTTCTCCCCTTAGAGACAAGAGTTATGCAATTTGGGAGTATTTAGATAGACCCACTGAAGGGGTACTCCAGTTGCCTCACCCTGCATCCCTGTTCAGCATGGAAGAAGCCAGAGCAGTCGGCATCCCTATTCCCTATTGGCAATTTGGGTAACCCCTTCAGGGGATAGCGTGATAAGAATAGGAGGTAGGAATTGGCTAGGCACTTAGGGTAAAAAGACCCCAAAGAAATGTAGCCAATTTCTTGGCTTAAAGTCAAAATGTCCTTGGACCTGTTAGCAACATACTCTGTTCCAAAGGCCAAAAATGTCAAAAATATTTGGGAACTTGTATCTAACCCTTAAGATTTTAGGGTTACCTCTTCAGAGGGAGTGGGCATGGATTTGATCAAAACACCTTATTTGCATGTATGAAATTCTCAATAAAGTTTTTGTAAGTTCCAGGGGACAACAAAGCATATCTCAAAATCTCCTGTAACTGTGGCAAGTCGCCTGTCCTCCTATTCGGGAAGGCCATGGAGATCCCAGAAGATAGACTTGAACCAGTCTACAAAGAGGAGGGTCAACACAGAGGAAACATTTCCTCCATGCTTCCAAAGTGAAGCCAGCCATGTTCAAACGTGACCTTTGACTTATCTTCACGTAGATGGAACTGATAAAAGAAAA